AAGGAGGGGGCTTTGTAGAAAACGAAGCGTTTGAGAGAGGCGGGGCATAGAGGACCTACAATAATGTACAGTATTTGAAAAATAATGTGTTTTTTGAACATTAAAGCATGTCAACATATTCTGTTACACCAAATACACAAAATAATGATCTTTAAAAAAGCATCATATGACCCCTTTAACGAGTATCTAACTGCCTATTTATTAAGTCCTACTCCACATTTTATTCCTCATTGAATCTTGTTCAAAAAATGTCACATTATAAACGTATTCTGGGATGAAAAAGCCTTTTATGACGAAATAAAGATTAAAAAAAAAAGCGTAATTAGAAAACCACTCATCTATAATATGTTTGCTTACCATGACAGGAATCTGATTGGTTGATAGTGTTGAGTCTGCTCCAGTGGGCATGGATGCTTGACTGTTGTCAAGTACTCGTTTACGTTTGCGTCGATTTGTAGACACTTCTTTACCTTCTGCAAAAGAGGATGTACACATTTGCGCTAATTGGCATTTGTAAACATTTATTTATTTTTTCATTTTTATTACATTTTGTTTCCAAAAGTGAAATAGAAATTACCTTTATTACAAGATTGAGTACATAACTCTGTGAAAGGCCTAAACAAAGGCAAAATCAATGAGATCAAACAACACTTACATATATAAAGTACAAGTACTAAACACAGCAAGCATTGCTCATGCTACACAATCACTACAATCATATCTGACACAACACTTACTGTAGAGGGGTTTTGATATTGAAAGTAATTTCATCTTGGCCTTGCAGGATTTTTTCCAACCGAACTATGTCATAAGTATTAGGATTCCTGAAGGGAATATCATCCGGAAGTCCACACACTTCCAGTGAGCCTGGATTGGCACGGATTAACTTGTATGGAACAATGACTGAGCGCTCCAGACCCAAAGCTTCACCTGAACACAAGACAGTCACAAATGAAGCACTGGAGTATTTTCAAAACCACAAAAATATGTTTGTTTGCACAAAGGAATAAATCAGTTATTAGTAATTAACATACCATATTTTTTATTGAAGAGTTCTTTAACTTGTTCCCTTAATATCACTTTCTCTCCCATCCGGTTGACCTCGTCTTCTTCTGTTGGACAGCGATAAGACAAGTTTACTGACAGATTCAACATTAACGTAACTTTTTATGCTAGCTAAATCAATCATAGTAAACAGATTTTACATGGATTCATGCTTAAGGCTAGACTTATCCTGCTTTATTTTTCAAAGAAAATCTCTTGGACATTGACTGTTTTATAATAAACTGTTTTAATATATTTTAGAGTATTACAAACGATTAAATAAGTGAATAAACTATTTTATAGTAATGGCTAATTTTCTCATAACAAAAAAAACCCCTGAACATCAAAGAATCCTGAAAAAAAAAAAAGCGTGAGCATAAAAGACTTCTGTCAAAAACAATTTAAAAAATCGTACTTTTGAACTGCTGTATATTTGCAAACGGAATAATTTTATCTCAGTCAAACAGTAAAACTAAAGTGGATTTTATTGATTATAGTAGGAATGATCCTAGTTTGGTCGCACCACAATGCTCTGCACTTCCAGTGTAGACATGGACACTTGTGCATTAAAGGCACAATATGTAAGATTTTTTTATTAAAATATCCAAAAACCACTAGAACAGTGTTATATATTTAGCTGACTTGTGTACTTACATTATCCCAAATGTTTCGAAGAATGTTTAAATCCAGAGAAATAAGCAATTTTAACTAGTGACACGGACCGTGTCCATAGTGTCATTGTGTCGCCTGCCAATGACGTCAAAACCCCTCGATTTCCGGTTTTGTTTTGTAGAAAACATGGAAACACCAAAGAAGCTTTAATATGTTGTGCGTTTTATTAGACCGGTGACGACCGCACAGAGTAGCATTATAACAGAACTTTCAAACCTGTCTAGTATGATAAAACAGCGCTGCTTCCTTCCGCTACTTTCCGGAAGGAGCGGAAGCGGTCGACTGTGGCATAATAAAAGCGCCGCTGCTTTCGAGCCGTGTGTCACGCTCATTCAGCGGCCTCGTTTCGCTTCGACGACTTTCAGCCTCACCCTGCTTCATTCTACTACGTTAATAAATCATTAGCTCATCCATGAACATGATTTCTGCCCGAGTCCCGTCGGATTGCATCGGCTGTGGGGATGAAGACGACAACTCCCATGATTCCACACTCAGTCACGGCGTCATCAAACTACGCCTTTGTCTATTTGTTTATTTTGAATACGCGCACTCTAGCGGCGAAAATTACATATTGTGCCTTTAATTGCAATAAATAACCACAACACTAAATCTATCATAAATTAGGGATGCACCGATACCACTTTTTCCAGTACTCGCCCGATACCGATACTTTTATTTTTGGTACTTGCCGATACAGAGTACCGATACCGATATTTTTATTGCATTTGTAAATTTTTTAAATATTGGGTACAGAAAACAAAAGAGTATGTATAATGTTAGTTGGTTAACTTCATTTATCAAATAGATACAGTCAAACCAAAATCTATTTAGACACCTTCATCTTTTCTCACATTATCACAGTTTATTCACTATAGTTTAGAAAATGGTAATAAAATATGACAAGAACTCAGAGTTAAACTGTCAGAACAAATTCATCTTGATAATGCTAGATAACTTTGATAGAAAGGTATGTAATAGATTACAATCAACCAAAATAATTCAGACAGCTGTTAGTATGACAGTATTTACACAACTATCAATACTTAGTCGGGCAACCCTTAGCCTCAATGACAGCCTGTAGTCTCCTGGGCATGCTGTCACCCAACTTCATGAAAACCTGAACTTCAATTTTTTTTTCCCAGACTCGGTCTGAATAATTTTTGGTCCTAAATTTGTATCAGTTTTACTGGTAGTCCACTGTATGCAGAATTTTTGGGTATAATTTGTCACATTTTACTTTATTTGCTATCCTCACTTACATAAATGAGCAATAGTGTCCTGCACCCACTAGTAAAAAAAATATCCAAAAATTATATCTGGTCTCTGAAACATTTTTGGTTTGACTGTATATCCTTCGGTTATTTTCACACTTAATTATGCCCATCAGAATACAGGCGTTAATACTGAAAGTTTAACGTTATATTCGTTGCATACATATACTTCGTAGTAGACATCCTTAACTCCATTCTGCTGTCTGTTGTTCTGTTGTCGGTGTTTCTTTGTCTGAATATGGCACTTATCACATGCTGTGTGGTATCGGCGTTTGGTATCGGGGCATTTTAACGAGTACGAGTACGAGTACAAGAGCTCAGTATCGGGCCCGATACCGATACCAGTATCGGTATCGGTGCATCCCTATCATAAATTATGCCTTATTCTTACCACTTATTGGAGTATAACCTTTCTTCAATATGGTTATTCGTCGTGGTGCTGGCAAAGTAAACAGGATTTGATTCACTTATTTCCATGAGTAATTCAGCAAAAATATAGACAATTTAAAAAAAGCAGTGCTATGAAATTTTCACAGCTTACCTGGCTTGGGAATAAGCCCTTGGAAAGGCCTGAAAAGATAAGACAAAAATACACAAATTAATCACTTTTTTTTCCTTATTTAAAAAGATCTAAAAGTTCGAAAGCTCTTCAAAAACTTGCTGCAGCCCCTCACCTTGTAATACTGAAAGAGATCTTGTCTGCCACCGCTAATATCCTCTCTAGATTCTGTGAGCCGAAGGTACAGGGTTTTCTGAAGGGGATGCCAGGGGGCAAGCCCTCTATAATCACTGAGCCAGGGTTACTCTTGATCCTCTTGTAAGGCACTTGCACAGGATACTTAATGCCCAGTGCCTCGCCATATTTCCTGTTGAACAGGTCTTGGACCTGCTCTCGCAGAGTGTTCGCCAAGTCGATACGGGAGAGCTTGGCCTCTAAACTGTCTGTGGGCAGAACAATGTTAGAAAAGCCAACGGTTTAGTGATAGCATATCGGGAAAGGTTAGAAGGAATGAAGTTTTGAACGTGAAACTGGCATCCAAAAGATGGACACTTGACACATGGATCAACTGAATCACTTAATTTAGTCAGGATGTAATAAAGTCACAAACTTACTGTGTACAACGCCTGATATCTTAATCATGGTGTTACCTGAGAATCCTGGTCTTTTGGAGGCAAGTCCCGGGTCATCTGATTGGTCTTTGGAGTCAGTCTCTGCTGAACATTTAATCAAAAGAAGCATTATATTTAGGGATGCACGATATAATCGGACCAATATCGGAATCGGCCGATAATGGCTTCAAATGTAAATATCGGCATCGGCCCGATATGAAAAAATATGCCGATATGTCTTGCCGATAAGAGGAATACATTAACTCCCATGTGCTCAGGGTGTGCTAGCGATTAGATCACGTCAGCATTGTGGCTCATTCTTGAAGCAAAGTTTTGCCTGAATGATGATTAGATTCACTGTTTGATTCGCTGCATTTAAACTGAGAATGCACGTACAGAATAGGTGTGTGATAGAGTAAACAGTAATAGCATGTGCAGCGGCAGCCTCCCCCGGGTCCTAATGCCCGCTCAGTAAGGAGTTTTAATTCCATAAGGGGCGCTGTTGACCTATTTCTAATAAAATTAAAGCAAAATACACATATAATATTTAGACTGTGTTTCTGATTAAATAAAGCACTAATTGATGCCATAAAATCATGAGTATGTTTTGAATTAAAGTTCAGAAACTATAGCTTATAATGAACAAAAAAACAAAAAAAACAAACATGTCACTTAAATAATAATTTTATATATACTGATTTATTCATTAATGTGTAATATGTTATATTACAAGTTTTATACACGTTATATGTTATAAACAAATTATGAGCTCTAAAAGATTTTCAGAATTTTTATAACTCTTGCTTTAGACCATTTACAAATGTTAAATCTTAAAATAAAATGTTAAGGTTACCACTGCATCTTTCTGGAAAAAAAATGCAGCGATTGAATATAGTTTATTTATAGTTATTTTCAAATCTTCAATGTACTGTCATTATAAAAGAACTTCATTGTTGTTTATTTAATTCTAACAAATAAGTTCTTGTTAAAAACGAACCAAAATTAAAAATAATTTGCTTATAATTTCTGTACAGGAGAGACTTAATAAAATTACTTCACCTGAATCAGAGGTCGTCTTAGAGACACCTTCATGTTTGACCTGTTCTGTCAACAATTCTGGCCTGACCAAAACAAAAAAGGCACATCGTTGTTACATCACTTCTTTAGACACTGTAGTGGTTTTATGTGAGTCTGAACAAATTTGTCAGATCATTGTAATGTGTTTTGTATGAGTATACCTCTTTATAACAAATGTAATCTGACTACTGGCGGCAAGAATCTTCCGAAGTTTTGCTGCTCCTAAACAGTTCGGCCTTCGAAAAGTCATCCCTTCTGGCAGCCCTGTGACATACAGATCATCTGGATACATCTGGAACTTGGAATACGGCACTTTAGACGGTTCAGGCAGACCAAGAGCCTCACCTAGAACAAGAAAGAGAGATGATTTGACTGGTTGACTGGCAAATATGCAGGCTGCTGTCACAGTTGATTGTAAATCATCGAGTGAGTGAGTAAGTCCATGACTCACTGTACTTGGAGCTGAACAGGCTCTCGACTTGATTTCGCAGCTGAAGGATCATCTCTCCGATGTCTTCTGGGGAAAGGGAGGACAATCACACCAACAGCCTAAAATATCTAAAGACAAAGCTGAGTGATCTTTCGAAATGGAGTTTTACCTTCAACAGCTCTCTTGAGCCCTTGAGTTGTAGACTTCGGCGTTAAATCTTCTGCAGAGATACAAACAGAATAACATTAACATGACTGTAGCACATGGGAAATATTCCTGTGTGTATGATTTGATGATGTAACGTCTACAAGCTTGCAAGAGGTGTTTTGATGATTCAACTCACCTGTGGTTTACTCCAGTGACCATTTGTGTAATGCAAACTTCAACATAACAAATCCAGTGTTATTAATTACGAGTCAAAATGCTTAATCTGTGAGTTAATATGAACGCTTCAACAATGCCAAGTTTCTACACCTGACTCCTGTACAAGTAATTTTTAAAAATTATAACAAAAGTAACCAAATGTTTATAAATGATTTGCAAAGTATAAAATAAAGCCATTAAATTATTTAAAAATAAACAAAACTGCAATATCAGATTATATTTATTTTTAAGCTCTCTTATTGATTTTGATTGCTTCCATTGTCCTCATTTGTAAGTCGCTTTGGATAAAAGCGTCTGTTAAATGACTAAATGTAAATGTAAAGGTAAAATACAGATTCAAATATTAAATTCTTAAAAAAAATTGTAAATACACTATTGTTCAAATGTTTGGGGTTGGCAAGATTTTTATTTTATTTTTTTTAAGAAGTCTTTTTTGCTCACCAAGGCTGCATTTATTTGATCAAAAATACAGCAAAAACAGCAATATTGTGAAATAATTTTACAATTTAAAACGTCTGCTTTCTATTTTCATATATTTTAAAATGTAATTTATTCCTGTGATGGCAAAGCCGAATTTTCAGCATCATTACTGCAGGTGCTCAAGAAACATTTCTTATTATCATCAATGTTGAAAACAGTTGTGCTGCTTAATATGTTTATGTGGAAACTGGGTTACATTTCTTTCAAGATTCTTTGATGAATTAAAAGTTCAAAAGAACAACATTAATTTGAAATAGAAATAGTTTGTAACATTATAAATGTTATACATCCTTGCTGTAAGGATTTATTTCTTTAGAAAATCTTACTGACCCCAAACGTTTGAACTGTAGTGCACATTTTGTATAAACCACACTTTGTGACCAATGAATTTCCATGACTTTTCTATAGCCTTGCCAGTCATTCATGATTCGTGAATAAGGATTTTTCAAACTCATTTTGATTCAGACTGACTCACTAATGAATCATTCTGACCAAATCAATTCATGGAAAAGAACCAACTCAAAAAATCTGACATCTCTGGCTTACCTGCAAGACTTACTCTACAAAAAAACAACAACACCTAGACGACAAAATATTTTATAGCATAACTAAAAAAGGAATTTTAAAACAATTTTAATTTTTTTCAATAACCAAGGTTTCCTTCCTGTTAAATACTGTACATACATCAGACCAGTTGAGCGTTCATATCAACTCACAGTGTATTTCTATATAGTAGGGGCGCTAACACTGGGAGTCTATTTAGGGTATTCTATTGGATGTGGGTTTACTGTAGTGGGTAAACTAGCACAGCACTGGGAACAGGTTTGACACTGGATCTGACTCGGGTGAGACTACTGTTTGGGTAAGACTGGGGGATTGGGATTGGAGTTGAATGAGAAATGTAAAACTCTGGTCTTACCACTGTGAAAAAAAAGTTAACGTACAGCCCTGTATATATATATATATATTTTTGTAATATTATAAATTTCTTTACTGTCACTTTTGATCAATATAATGCATCCTTGCTAAAATGTATTAATTTCTTTAAAAAAAATCTCACTGACTCCAAACTTTTGAAGAGTGCTGAACATTTTGTATAAACCAGTGATATTTATTAAGAAAGTACATAAGACCCCATTTGATTTTAAAGTCAACATGATGCAGCATTCATAGTCCTTCCATAATCTAACATATTTCCAAGTGAAACAGGATGTTAAATGACAAAAAAAAAAAAATGCACAGAAACAAAAATTTATGACAGGATCATAAATAGTGGTCTCTGTTTGACAGGTGTTTCAAAGTAGATGTATTGAAAAGTGGTTTGAGAGACGGAAAAAATACATTTTGATAAAAGATTGTGAAAATAACGTGCACTGCTGAAGCGAGGGAAATTTAAACTTTAATTTAAAATGAAAGATATTTTTAAAAAATTTAACATAAATAGGGTCTTTAACTAAGGTCGGAAGGTAAAGACGAGGTAAAAAGTCACATTTGATCAGAATGATGTATTTCAATATTGTTCATGCAGCACTTGAGCTAAAATTTTCAGTTCATATATATGATGTTCCTCCAGTTTAGTTTGTGCAAAATGTCCTGCCTGTCCTCAAAGGCTCAGATCACTGCACAGCAGGGTGGAAAATGAGAGCAAATATTTTTAAATCAGAAGGCAACCATCAGAGACACACTTCCTCTCTGTGAGTAAGTGAAATATGCTAATGCATTCCCATCCAGTAGACCTACAGGGATTTCATGCTGCTTTCAACTCACAACTTTATTTAAATTTCTGCACAGATGATTGTTGTTAACTAACAATAACACCAAAAAGAGAACAAAACTTGAGGTACCAGGCTGAAATATTACAACTCTCAGCGTGAGCTTTACAGTGGGGCTGGGAGACCATACCTGGCACTGTCACCTGGATAATTTCACCATCTGGGGGCTCCGTTTTGATCTTCTTCAAAGGCAGACAGTCCCCAGATGGCCCTGAAAAATAAAGCACACTGGTTTATTTTGAATTTTACACTTAGAATATGTTTTATAATCATAAAACTGCAAGGCAGAAGCCAAAGCTGTATTAAAATGATGAGCGGACAATCTACCTGCTTCACACTCAGCCAAAGGACTGACACAGGAGCTTGTTGATCTGAAACAAAAACAAGATTTCCTTCAGCATTTTGCACACAAATGCATCTTTACTAGCTATTTCTCTATCATTTTCTTAATTACAAGAAAAAAGGGATATACCCAAAAGAAATTTCAAGGCCAAATGCGGAACATCTGACACGCTAGGCCAAAAGTCGACATTTCTGATTTTAAATTAGTCTTGGTTTTGAATAACAATATATTGTTAGCCTATAATATAAAAAAATATAAAAATAAATAAATAAATAAATATATATGCAGAAAACAGAGAATAAAGACTTGCTAATTAACTCTCCTATTGATTATTATATACAAGCACTGTGTTACATGAGATGTGTTAAGTCTGTATACATGGCAAGCAGAGAATAGGAAGCTATTTTTATTAAAGAAGCACTCCACTATTTTTGAAAATAGGCTCATTTTCCAACTCCCCTAGAGTTAAACAGTTGAGTTTTACCGTTTTCTAATCCATTCAGCCAATCTCCAGGTCTGGCGGTAGCACTTTTAGCTGTAGCTTAGCATAGATCATTGAATCTGACTAGACCGTTAGCATCTCGCTCAAAAATGACCAAAGAGTTTCTCTGTTTTTCCTATTTAAAACGTGACTCTTCTGTAGTTACATCGTGTACTAAGACCGACGGAAAATGAAAAGTTGCGATTTTCTAGGCCGATATGGCTAGGAACTATACTCTCATTCTGGTTTAATAATCAAGGAACTTTGCTGCCGTACCATGGGTGCAGCAGGCGCAATGATATTACACAGCGCCTGAAAATAGGCTAACTTCCGTCAACATAACCAACGTGACCACCTGCTTGCACAGGGAGCGTGCTGGGGACTATTTTCAGGTGGACTAAGACCACAATAATTTCAGCCGAATTCACATCAGACTTTTATGTCACTCTAGATTGACATTCGTCACATTTCTGCGCTGATACAATGCACTCCAAAGATTTTACACAACGGTAGCTCTTTGGTCGCTCGGATAATATGGAAGACAGTCATGACGGTAGCCAGTGGAGGGACAGTGAGCTGTAAGTATTATGGTTAAGCAAAAACTAAAGGGCAAACTTGAAAAACTTTGCTCTCTTTCTCTTCATCCTTGTCTTCATCCTCCTTATTGCCTGCACATGAAATCATCTTGTTATTGTTCTTTTGGACATACGGGTCAGTTCGAGGCTGTGAGCAATCCACACTGATTTTGGCCACAATAAATATGATGTGTACAGCCAACCAAAAAATCAGATCTGAGCAATAAAGCAGAACTGAGCACTAAGGCTTGCAGTGTGAACGTAGCCAAAGTTATCAGATTTGTTTCAACAGAGTTTCAGGTCACATTTTCAGCTGAAATTTCTTTCCTACAGCTGAAATTTCAGTGTATGGCTACAGGAAAATAAAAAGACGCAATCTATCTCTAAGAAAATACAGATATTATGCTTCTGTGGTGACAGGAAAGGTAAATTGGTACCTGCTACTGTGAGTGTTGCTGATCAGCTCTAGAGAAGAGCTCGGGACCCTGAGGCCATCTGGGAATCCATCCTCACCATCCTGTTTGCCCTCCTCCTTAGCTACTTTACCAGCAGCTTGAAGAAAATGTTAAAATGTGCTTAATGTTGTAACATCTAATTCATTTCAATCAGAAATATTATTGAATAAGACTGAATAAACCTGTCTATATAAGGTTAAATGAAAAAAATTAATTTGTTAAAGGTCAGGCAAGGTAGAAATAGCTCCTTAGGAAACAACAGGACATTTTCACTTTTTACATTGCAAAAAAAGGTGCAATGCTATGTAATAACAATGCTATTACATTATAATAAGTGCACTAAGTAAACAGGAGCCAAACAAATACTGGTTAAGGAAATGCTTACCAGTAAAAATTCGTTCGTCAAACATTCTAAGAAAAGAAAAGAAAAAATTGTGAGTTCATGTGAGCCATAAGCATATTAAAACATTGAAATGCTGTCTACGCATGTCTAGTGCCGAGCAGCAGGAGATTTCCTCATTACGCCAAATCAGCGGCTCCACGCTGGCTCATGTATGGCAATGGTTACCACAACCAGCATGACGCTCCACTTTGGATGCCTAGCGCCGCTCTGCCAGATGGCAAAGACGGCTAGACATTTTTTTTTTCTTATGAAGCAAATTAAAAACTCAGTATATCCAGTACCAATATCTGGATTCATTTTCAATGAGCCACACAGTTAATTACATGACGAAAAAATGAAAGGTTATCAGTAATTAAATCTCTGACACTGTCGTCACATGTTGAAATTGGAAGAGCTACAAATCACACTGCCGCTGTTTCAGTTTAACTATTCTGGTTTAACTCTGACTACGGCTCAATTCATCTTAACTGACACAGAAGGAAATCTCTCTCATCAGGTCAACATTAGTTCTCCAATAAAGGAATGTTTAGATGGAGTTTCAAACCTTTTGACAACAAAGCGGACAGCATGCCTTTCTTCCAGGATCCGTTTGAGTTTAGGCACACCGTAAGTGCATGGTCTCTTGAAGGGAATCTTGTCTGGAATTCCAATGATCTCTACCGCCTCAGGATCACAGGCGATTTTCCGGTATGGCACAGGAACCATGTGATCCAGGCCTAATGCTTCAGCTGAAATGAACATCAAACAAGTGATAAGTTAAAGCTGAAGTATGTGATACTCTGCGCTACCAGCATCGAAAACATTTTAAATGATGTTTTAAAATCCCCTAACTGCCATTGGTCAACCAAAAAAGGTGGCCCCGCCCCAAACACACACCATTGGTTGAGCCAGTGTTGCTGGTTGTTTTGATAGCACCACAGAGGTACAGTGTTTACACCTTTCAGATGAATCAACCTACTAATGGTTTACTTACAGTTCTCTGCATATTAATCTGGGATAAGAGAAAATACTTTAACCCTATAAAGCCTGCTGTATTTTTGATCCACTCATTTAGAAGGCCTCTAAGTTATCAACAACAAGAGTTTTTTTTCTAAAGGCTTAATAAATTAATAAATTTTTCAAAAAAATTATTGTTTGCACTAGTATTTTATATGTCAAGGTTAACACTGAAAAAAATTACATGCTCCAGCTATCATTAATATGCAGTATTTTATTGTATGACTGTGAATTCTGCATTGTGACTTCAGCTCACCATATCTACTGTTGAAGAGGATCTGAACACATTCTCGAAGGGTGTTGATATCCTCAGTCTCCCCGATGAACGAATCCCATTTTTCTGTGCATGAAATACAAAAAAAAAAGTATCATGTAACAATCAAATTTTATATGTTCCCTATTAAGGCAAAAGCAATAATGTCACAGTCTCAATTAACATTTTGTGAAATGCATTTGCATACACCGAGGTTTTCCTCTGTACTTTTAGACATAGGAGACAATTAAGGCAGGTCTTGACTCTCTGCAGTCACTGAAGATCTCATGCTGATCTTTTGAGAGGAACAGACTTTGGTAGCCCAGGTGACCTGGCTAAACTCCCATTACTACTGCCCACTCTGCCAAGTTCAGCTCTCTTTATGTTTCACCCGCCTGTAGCAAATACCACTCATATATAAAGAACAATCGGTAACACTTTAGAATAGGGAACACATATTCACTATTAACTAAGAGTTTTCCCTGAACAAACTCCTAATTTGCTGATTATTAATAGTTAATAAGGTAGTTGTTAAGTTTAGGTACGGGGTTGGATTAAGGGATCATAAAATATGGTCAAGCAGAATAAGGTATTAATATGTGCTTTATAAGTACTAATAAATAGGCAATATGCTAGTAATATGCATGCTAATAAGCAACTAATTAATCGCGAGAATTGGTCCTTAAAATAAAGTGTTACCGAACGATTTGTGGATCATTAGATATGATTTATTTATTTTCCAGAGAGCTTAACATAGTTAAAATGATTGTGTTTTCTTACTGGGAGGAATAGTTCACCTAAAAAATTCTGTCATTATTTACTCACCCTATTGAAGGTGAAACATAAGAGAAATTCTGAAGAATCATCATACCATGTTTTTATAAACTAAAGAACAGTTTATAATAAACACATCAATATGTCATGCTCCAAAAAAAGGAAAGGAGTCCAAATGACTAGTTCGCTTTATCCCTTTAGTCAAAGCTCTGAAATGGACAAAAAATGCCTTGAAAACTTAAAGACAAAACACCACAAGCAAAACCATTGTTTTTTCAAGCACTGATCATTTTTGAGATTTTTTGCTATTTTGTTTCTATAACTTTCATTTGATTCCATAAATATTCTTTCAGACTAGTGGAAAGAAAACATCCAAAATATAAATTCAAGTATTTATTTTATGACGCTTTATCTATTTGTGTCTGTAGATTTCAAATATAATACATATCTTTAAAGGCTGTTTTTTGTTTTTGTTTTTTATTCTGAAGGTTTTTACAGAGGGGAATGTTAATATATCATTCACCTGGTTTATATAAAATTGTATTCCTAAAAACGTAAATTTTTTGGTGAATAGCAGTGAATAATGACTAATACAATTAGGAATGATGACAACATTTTCAATCGTCATGCGTAACGTTAACATACGGTGTCAGAAGACTTGAAACACAGTGCAGGAGTCATCTGGACAGCTTTTATGGTGGGGCTTTTTTATGCTATATGGAAAAAAAACTTGTATTAAGACTCTTCAAAAATTCTCCTTTTGTGTTCACTACATAACAGCATACAGGTTTGGAACGACATGAGGGTGAATAAATAATGACAGAACTTTAATTATTGGGTGAACTATCCCTTTAAAATGTGAGAAGATGCCTTGTCTTTGTATTTTAGGGAGGAAATTAACTTAAATTAACTTCCACTGAAATGAAGGCCAGCTTGTCCTTGGCCAGACGCTGTAATGGTGAGTACAGTCTGTCGCCCACCTGATTTTTCATGCACTATGGAGAACAGAAGGCGCTTGGAGACATGGATGCTGGGAGGACTCTGGGTAAGATCTGCTGCCAGCCCTACTCTCTCGCCTGGAAGAGACACACAGTCAGAGCAAGTCAGAGTTAAGTACATAAAAAAGAACCATATCCATATGGTTCAGCACCTACACAAGTAGCATCACGCATCATAAGTGCATCTCTAATATTCATAGAAATATACTGGCAGCCAATGTATATAGAAGAACAACAGGAGGCTCTTACCATTGTCAGCACATTCCTTGGCCTGAACCGCTTTCTCGTCAGCGGATGCCCACATGCCCAGCCGCTCTTTACCTATGCTGTGCAGTGATGTGGGCTTCAGGTCCAGCTTGCTGTCTGGGTGAGGCTGGGAGGACATGGGCATGCCGTACAGGAAGCTGGAGAGCATGGAGTTGCAAGCAGACGCGTCCTGCACAGAGGGTTTGGCAGAGGCGTGGTTGCTTACGCTCTTTGAGGTCGAAGAGTGATGGTTGACTTCCAGACAGGATTTGGCATCCCGAGAGGGTTCCTCTGGTGTTCTATTAAAACACACACACACACATTTTTGGTCTTTGTTCATTGGGTGCTGATAGTGACAAAATGATAAAACAATGATAAAATTGTAGTAATTTCTTCTTCTTCAAAAAAACAACAACTTTACTTTACTTTACTTTACTTTACTTTGAGTTTGCAAATGACTTACACTAACTACTCACACCAATTATGTTTTTTGAATGAGAGCAGTTATTCATATGATTTAATGCTAAATACAAACCATCTGACAATAGTCACTCATTATAAGGTAAAACATGATATATATAAAATTATGATAATGATATATGTCTTTTATGGATCCTGCAATGAATATAGTGCTAAACAGGTACAGTACATAGAGCATATCCTTCAAAAGTTTGAAAGTCAGTTAGATTTTTAAAAGTTTTTGAAAGAAGTCTCTTTCACCAAAGCTGCATTTCTTTGATCAAAAATACAAAAAAAACAGTAATATCATGAAATATTATTACAATTTACAATAACTATTTCTGTGATGACAAAGCAGAATTTTCAACAGCCATTATAAGCACGCTGAACACCTCCTCCACCATCTTCCTCAGGACGAAGATGTTGGAATGAGTGTCTGTTAAGGCCCTCTGTCTGCCCTGCTGCCCGCAGTCTTTGCCAGTCCTGCTGCAGTCCACATCAGGAACTTTGGCGTGGGAGTTCATGGCGGTCAATGCTTGCAGACAGGACACTTCTGTGGAAAATAAATCTGTTACTTCTGAGGAAACAGCACAACTACCATTTAAACACCTGTACTATTATGTGCAGATTACATTCAAAACCATTGTTTTCAACTTTGATTTCGTGTTAACTCACTGCAGAATTTGTGAAAGTCTGTCTGTATTTCCTTTCTGGAGTTTAGGAAGATTCTTCCCTTCTCTGTTCCCACGGCGATCACGCTGTCTTCATGCACAGTGACACAGGCCACCTCAGCATTGAGTTTAGACATGGCAGAGCACTGCAAACACAATTCACATCAAGTCATCCACCACCAAAATTCTGCATTAAACACACACCGTAAGTATCTTTAAACTCAGAACGGGTTACAGTCTTACCACAGAGTCCAGGGCAGACACTAGGCTGGTGAGGATTTCTTGTCTGGCTGACACTTGGGGAACTTTGAGCTCTGGCCGTGAGTTGGTCCTCATCCCATCACAGCCAAGCTTCCGTATCTGTGCCATTCTTCTGCAGGAAGAGACACAGAATAAAGCACACTGAAATCCAATGCAGGTCTATAACGCTACACTAAATATAAAATTAATTACTCATTAACTTAAAACTAAAACTAAAAACACATAACAATTATATATTAATTAACAACATGTACTTATTACGGTTGTTTGTAATCATGTTATTACTATAGTAAGTACATGTAACGTAACAAGTACACAAAAATAAAGTGTCAGCAAAGTTTGTTATCAGATTGTTAAAGGACCTTACAGCAGACACCATATTTAATTTGACACGAATAAAAAATGTTATAAGGGACAGATGTACGGTGAAAAGCATCTCTTGCTATTGAGTTGACCACACAGGATAGACAGAGAAACAAACAGTATTCAGTGTAATCCAATTCATGAACAAATGACTCATCTGAGTTAGTTCTTTTCATGAACTCACTAAATAAGAGAAGTTACTTAATCAGCATCTGTCTTACTGAACTGCATGTTATCACTACTTTCAATGATGTCTGTCTTCGAAATGAATTGATGATTTGTGTACTCAAGGTTTCATGAAACGTGCAGTTGCTTACTACTGACAACATGTAGGCTTTATAGGCTGGTAATTAATATATTATCCTTCAGTGTGCCATCCAAACATTCTTTCTCAGAAATAATAATAAAAATAATAATAATAATAATAAATTTGGGAAAGCAAGCTAGAAATAGTGTTTTTTTAATGACAGCTTAAAAATGTAGGCTACACTTTTTTATTGTACATTAGCAATATGGTTTGTTTGTATGTATGTTGTTTATATATTATTGTTATTTATGATTATGATTGTGAACATTACATGGCCGCTCGCTCTAACATTAACCTAGAAAAATGTGTGCTATTCAAGTGTTTGTGCGGAGTGTGGAAGCTGAAGAGTAGCGAGCTCACTGCATGACAGTTAACTTAGAGGCACTGGTGTGATCATTTGCATTTAACTTAAAATACTCTGTCATTTTTGCTCATACAGAGTAATAGCTACATCTTTCAAATTTGTAAAAGGTTTACTTTTATTTGTGTGCACTCACAATAACAACAAAACGTTGTGCTTTTGTAAAATAATGAAAACAAACAGGGTGTGCTTTCTGCCATCTAGGCCTCTGTGAACTTGAGCAGGTCAAAAAAAATTAACCGAAACTCTGCTTGCCTCACAGACATGAAAAATATATCTATAGAAAGTAAAATGTCTACTTTTAAATGAACCAATTCAAATGGAAAACAAATATTTTCAGATTATGTAATCCATATGAAACATGCACGTCTGCAGTCCGTGGAGATGACGAGACAGTGCCGTCGACTTCATCGCTGCAGCCGAAAATACAGATAACATTATAGTTTATCAATTAATTATCATACTGTTAAGGCAGTCTTCTTGCTGTTTTTCTCCCTGACGCATTAATAATTATCACTTCTGCCGGTGTGCTGTTGCAAGATTAATCTTGAGTGCTGATAGGCCAGAGGCCTGTTATTATGAATTATATATGGTTTATTAATATAAACATGCAATTTGTCAACTAATTGCTAAAAATGAATGACTACTAGTCGACTAGTAGCCCTAGTTTTCGGCCAAGTGCATCCAGAATTTTCGGTTTCGGCCAAGAATTTTCATTTTGGTGGATCCATAGCAAATAGCTATCAGAATTCTGTAGGAAACACTGATATGCCATCTACCCTGCGATTACGGTCTGCAGGAAGCACAGACATGATGGGAATGTATTAACAACTAATCATAATTAATGGACTCATAATAATTACGTGCAAAAACAAACCAATATGTTTTGTTAATTATATACTAAAGAGTAAGAAGGCTTCAAGCTCCCCATTAACTTTTTAAAATATGTTCGGCTGTACAAAATGTATTGAAGGATGGAAAAACCTATAAGAAGCTTTGGGAAGTGATAGTAATACCCTTCCCTGTGCTAATACACCAAAATCCGTCACACACATGTGAAAGTAGCTAATTACGATAAGCCTTTGTCAACCAATTAAAGCTAGCTCAGATTATTGCCGTAAAACCCTTCATCCTTAATTTGTTCTCCTTGGAAGCAAGACAGGGCCTGGAAGCATGAGCCCTCTAAAGTGAACTACTTTACCCGTCCCTCTCGACAGACGCCCCCCCTGAATCCAATCTCGATTTCAGCCACGTCGGCTCTGAAAGCTGTAAACTTGAGTACGGACTAAACTAAGGTGGGTTTAAAAACAAGCACAAACCAAACAACAGTTTAAAGATGAAAAACAAGCAAAAACATCAGGGATGACGAATGTGAGCTGTAAAACAAATAAATAAATAATGCAATCCTAATTCCGGGCCTTGTGTTCACATGGCAACTGCAATCCGTTTCCTTGGAAACTAATCTCGAGGCATGTGAACAATGCCGCTCTGGCCTTTAATCTCTCCAGACACTGGGAGCCATTATCCAAGCCTCCGGGCAAAGCCAAAACCACAGACTGCACAGAGAGAGCCCAGTACTACTATTACTCATCTGAAAACCTCCTATAAATCCTGCTGCAGCTCAAAGCCGGATGCCTCTGCCTGAGCGTAATCTTACATACAACATCTGAACACCAACACCTTATATCTATAGTTCATTTCGGATTCATTCAAACGGCCAGATCTAATTCACTACTTTGGGTCCTTAGTTGAAAAATAAAGTCCAGCTACACTGTAAAAATGATTTTTCGAAGTTGTAAATGATTACTGGAGTACGTGTTAAAAGAAAATACAATTTCAGTCTTTCTACTTCCAAATTTCACGTTTAATTCAATGTGTTGCTTGCTGTTTCTTTGTAATTATTTGTGAAACTTACTAGGAATTTCTGAGTGGAAATAGTTCTGAGGTAAATCCAACGCCAAATTTTTTTAGTGTATGTTCTGATGCTTTAGCGTAATAATGGACGTCAGAATCAGCACAACCTGCGTTGCATGTTCAGGAAGTTTTCAGACAATAAAACAAGACTTTTACAATTTATGAAGAAAATGTGAAAGGTGCTTGCACATGCAAAACTTTGTCACAATGTCAGGTTTTGCTATTAGGTGCTATCTGGGTCCCCCCTTTAAAAAAAATCAGCCATATAATTTTTTTTTTCTTTTTGCTAATTTTATTTTGTCAACAGACAAAAGCCAAGATTTAAAAAAAAAAACTGAGACATTTCTGCATTGAGTAAAAGATGACAGAATATTTGGGTGAACTACACCCATACATACAAAATATATATATAGATATAGATATATATATGTATGTTAGGGATGTAACGATTCACTCAACTCACGATTCGATTCACAATTTTGATTTCACGATTTGATTCACGTTTTTTTTTTTTTACAAAATTAGATTTTAGACATATTATAAATTAAATGTGTCCTTTTATTATTGCTTGGACAAAATACTGTACGTTTCTTTGTGAAATTGAAATAACACTATAATAATAATATAATATACTAATATAGCACTTGTAAATTATTGCTCTTTTGTTGGTTTTGATTGCTTCTATTGTCCTCATTTGTTAGTCGATTTGGATAAAAGCGTTTGCTAAATAACAAAATTTAAATATAATGTAAATGTAAATAACAAAACTAAATTGAAATTTTAAAACAAGCCCCAAATCAAATAAATAAGTAACACAAATAAAATAAATCTCTTCATATAAACAAACTAAGGCTTTGTCTGTGCTCTTTCCATTTAAAATTAGAGGCAACCACTGCATTTTAATCATGATCCAAACAAAGATGCTGCATACATGCAACATGAGC